GCATATATACATGTAACTATTTTAAATTATTAATAAAGATATAAGCAAGGCCTCACCTTAATACCAAAAAAAAAAAATAAAATTAAAATAAAAAATTTATTAAGTAGTTGCTAAAATATTTAAAAAATTTATATTTAATAAACATTTTAAATTAATAAAAATATTTTAACAACCCAATAAAATTTAATGCAAAGTTTTTTGTTTTAATTCTATACATTTGTAAAATTAAAATAAATCATTAAATTCAACAGATGTATCTTAATTTTTTTATAGTTATCAGTTATTTTATCATCATGAATCTGATTGGGTCAAATTACTGATCACTATCATGTGACTAAAAACCAGGCTCTTCACATGTAATACATTCACAACACACAAGTAAAGAAATTTACACCATACAATAATTTTGCCAGTTAAACATTATAATACCGACTTAATATAAAAGTAATCAATCGAAGAATGATAGCAAAAAATAGCATAGTTGAAAATTTACTATTGAATTTTATTTGATCTTCCGATATTCCATCCCATCTTCCTCAATTTTCTAACTAATGGTGGAGTTATTGCAGCTGTCAATCCTAATCTAAGAGGAAACAAAATTTTGTGAATACCATACGCGATAACAAAAGTGCTCGCCCATGAAGGAGAATGTCGGGTGCCATTGTCTTTGGGTTGATCATGTATATATTCTTCGCGTGAGTTTTCTTTTATAACAGTCGTCTTTGAATCATCCTCTTTACGTTGGAATTTCTTTTTTTTCAGTACGATCCAGGCCCCAAATGTTTCAGTGAACCAATTTTCGATCATTTTCACTCGTTCAGATCCACCAGATTGGATCAGAATGAATGTCAATCCTAAATCGATTGTAGAAATAATAAAGTAGACAGATATTGCGGAGGCGCCATATTGCCTCGTTAATAATTTTAATCGTGCAGTCATAGTCAAGTGTTCCTGTTGCTTATTCTCTTTCACCAACGTTGACATGTTAAGGCTTTTATGAGAGTACACCAAATTATAGTTAGACGAAACTGTTTTATTTAAATGGCGAAAGACGAAACCTAAACCCGGCGAAAAACGAAAGCTTAAACCTCCCGACGATATGGCGAAACCCTGTCGAAGGACAAAATCCCTATAAACTCCTGGGAAAACACAAAACTTCTGGTGAAAAGTGAAACCCCGGGCAAAAGGTGAAACTTTTGGAAGTCTCTGAAATTTTAATAACAGTTGAATTCCTGAAGAAGGTCGAGCTACGTTGGTATATGAAAGCATTTTTCGATTATGTGATTTGTGATGTGTACTGTGATTAGTCATGATTAATGCCCAAAAATTTTGAGATTCGTGTAACCTGAGTCTCGGTTAGCGGGTTTATTAGCAGTTAGTAAAATTCACTACGTATTAGTTCTATATCTAAAGTGATAATAATATTACCATATTTAATTACAAAAACAAAAATTTAATCATATTTGGGCTGCTACTTAGCTAGCTAAATTCGCTAAATTTTACGTATTATTAATTCAGACATAATTGTATGTAGTTAATTTTATTAAATAAGATTAACTATAAATTTATAACTACGTAGTTACTGGGTATAAATTTCCATAAAAATATATTGTTTTTTTTTTTAAATATGACCGATTTAAGTTTAAAAGTTTTTTTTTTAAGCAAATATGTGAATTAAGTGATTATGTTTACATATACTATATATTTAAAAGCCCAAAATCTTGGTAGCACCAATTTAATTATGCCATCTTCAATAAAGTGATGAGTCCAGTAAATAACGAACGATAAACTTAAAGGCTCAAAATCTCACACTAATTCGAAAGGATAATTATTGCTTTATTGTATAATTTAATAAAATGTGAAATTTTGTTTGGAGCATTCAATTACAAAAATTGGACGGGTGCCACACTCCATCAATACCCGAACCGGAACTTAAACTTTTATATTTAAATAAAAGAAAAATAATATGGGCAGCCAAAAATTACATAAAACGTAAGGGTTCCGAATCTGGTTCAATTATCTTAGGGAATATACTTCAGGCGAGGAAATATAAATATACGTCAAAAGGAATAAAAAAAAAAAAAAAAAACGTAAAAATAAAAAAAAAAATTATATAGAAAAAAGAAAGAAAATCTTAAAATTTCTCAATCTTTTGGATTTAGAATGGCGTCTAGAAAGCAAATTCCAAGAAATATCAAGTCACATTGTTATTAAAGTAGTTGAATTGAATAAAATAAACAGATCTAATACATAGACTCTTACCGATTACAAAAACCTAAATTGGAGGAGTTTTATGCGGAAATTGATTCTAGAGCATTAATCGCCGATTTTTTCTTTGCATCCTTCTTATTACCACTCCAACCAATGCCATAACTTTTACCCTTAATAATGACTTCACATTCGAAACCTTGTTTATTTTCACATTGTTTTTCGGTGAATTTATATTCAGGTATTTCAAACCCTCTAGATTGAGCCCAATTTTGTAATTTTCCTATAGGATTTTCCAACGAATCTGATTCTATTGGCTTATTCATAGGACCATATACAACTCCATTTTTAGTAGGAGATGAACTAAGACCGTTTCCGGAGTTTGCAACCAAATCATCCACAAATGGTTCAATAATTGGTTTCATAAATTTAATAACCTCATTTAAGTTTTTGTTACAATCCAAATAAATGGCACCAATATATGCTTCAAATGTATCTTCTAAAATTCTATCATTCTTTCTATCACCCGCTGCTAATGCACCTATTCCCAACAAAAGTTCTTTATCTAAACCTAATTTACGTGCAAATCCAGCTAACGCTTCCTTACAAACAATGTTTGACCTCAAAGTAGTAAGCGTGCCTTCTTTATAATCAGGAAAACGAAAAAAGAGATAATCGGCAACCACAGCTGAGATTATGGAATCACCTATCCATTCAAGTCTTTCATTATGAGGACCATTTTCAGGTTTTTCGGAGGCAAACGACTTATGGGTGAATGCTTCAGTTTCTAAGTTTCTTTTGTTAAAATTCCATCTTTTGATTTCACCCATGTTTGTAAAATAACTATAATTTTAAAATTAATTTGTGAATACAAAGAAATAATAAGCAATTATATAAGAAAAATCGGATATATCACATGCCATAATGTAAAGTTGATCATGATTGTTAACTTATAACTTATGTGTAACGAGATCCTCGGAAAGTGGAGTCCGTACGCACGTACGTTTCATTAAAGTTTCCTCTTGAAAGAAACAATGACAATACATCCGTATAACTTACCTTTTATGTACATATGATGTAAGCATTTGTTCAAGAAGGTTCCGTGATGAAATTCTCATATCGCTTTTAGATAATAATTTTGGAACAAAATTCTTTATTATTTTTTGTCGGTTATAGTTCCGGAAAAACGTAATCATTTGAGATGCACGGTGACTCCACTTCATTGTTGCCTCTTTTATAACACTTTATTATTATCACTATCGGATAAACCACGTTAATAAGATACATGTAACAATCCTAATTGATAATTTTTTAAAAAAATAAAGCGGAACAAAGCAAATGTAAATTCAAAACTTCCAATTGTTGTCAAAAATCACTACCAGCCAATGATTTTATAGACTATTCGGGGCGGGACCCCCTAAAGTCCGGGAGTCATCAACTGTCGCAGCATCTAGTTGCCAGAACCTTTGCTTTGAATTTAATAAATGAAAATTTGAACCAATAGTTATAAATTGGGTTTTTGTTAGAAAAATTATTAAATTATTCTTCGGGATTGTGATTATATGGTCTTGAGAGTCATTTTATCGACAAAGATCAAATTCAAAATACTACGCCCGGACTTCGGGGGGTCGCCCTGATACATCCGTTATACATCATACATTTCACCTCAAAAGTACAAGAAACGCCTTATCTAATAATATATATTACACATAACTAATTTTAGTAGCTAGTATATAAAACTACAGATTTATTAATGTTTTTAGACTAATCCGAAACTTGCCTTGGTATTCTGCAAAACACTGTTTAAATTTTTTGCATTTCAACTACGTAGAACTCACTATTTAAGGAATAGTTTATTTTAGAACAGAATGGGCTAGAACAGGATATGAGTCGTAAAAATCGACCACATGATACATGTGATGTCGAGATTGACATTGATTGATTTGATTGGTTTGATTGGTTGATTAATGCAGATTATTTACCATTTTGTAAATCCCATAATTCACCTAAATTTGAAATTGTTATAAATATACGATGAAAATCTTCTCTTCGTTTCTTATCTTCCCACGAGGTACTCGCAGAACGTATAAACCTTTCGCCTTTTACTAAAGGTTTCCGTGTGGGTGCCTCATTGAAGTGGGCTTTTGAATTTTTGGAAAATTCCTATGGTAAAACCATAGGAGTTTTTTTTTATATTAAAAAGCGGTGTGGGTCGTGGTTTTTTTTTTTAAAAAAAAAAAATATATATATATATATTCTTTTGTTTTGCAAAAGAAAAAAGTTTCACAATAGAGTAAATGGCGTTTACTAATTTTTCCCAATTTTTGTTTTCGACCAATCAGAGAGCAAGAACAGTTGTAACGTGACGATCAAAACAACAATCACACTTTTTTGTATAGTCAAAAATTCGATTATCTTTAACGAATTTTCTATAGTTAAGAATCGTTTTTTCGAGAAAACAGGGGCTTTACCCAAGTAAAACTAACTTTACTTACTAAGTAAACATATTATCTTTTACCTACTCTCACCTTTTTCTAATAGCTTTTTGGTATAGTTTTGGCGCAATAAATCAATTTTGTGTGATGTGTTGGAACGTATAACGAAAAAACTTATTAATAAAAGGTTATTAGAAAAAAGTTCAGCCTTGTAGGATGATGGCTAAAGATGAACTTTGACAGTAAATTTGTTGGGTTGACATTAAAATGGTGCCACCTTTGCACAAAGTAGTTATGGACTGTAAAGAGGCTCTGAAGCTATGCTACTTTATTTTGCCATTGTCCATTATGCTATTAAAAAGCTTTCGAATTGCACCAAAATTTGAGTGTAAATAAAAGATGGTATATTGAACAACTTTACTTAGTATGTAAAGTTAGTTTTACTTAGTAATATATTCAATTCGTCAAAGTACTCACATTCGTCATAATACTCACATTTGCCATATATGTACACGAAGGTTTTTATTTTACCGGATTATCATAATTTCTGGGACATCTGCTCATTACCCAAAATCTTTTTGGTCGTATCTAATTCCCCGTAAATTACGTCACTGCTTCCGGACTGAAGGTCCGAGACAGCAATGTAATTTCCGGAGAGTTAGGTAATTTATCGAACGACCAAAAAGATTTTGGGTAATGAGCAGGTGTCCCAGAAATTATGTAAACTTAATACGCGTTAGTAGTAGTTCGGTAACTTTAGATCGGGTTAAAATAGAACTTTTGAAATAAGATTTTAATACGGATTTGGGGTTCTTATAGTAAAAAAAAAATTTTTAAAAGTACTTTTAGAGAATTTTAAAGTGTTTTTATATCGAACTCTATAATAATTTTTTTAAAAAGTTTATTATAGAGTAGGTTCGTTATACAGTATCCAGAGTCTAGAAGTTCATCATAGTGTAGGGTCGTTTTGTCCAGGGTCAACTGTAGTTCACGTAGGTTATACTGGTTTTAATTTTGGTGTGTTTTGTTGTAAAGCAAGTCATCCATTGTTGCATTTTTTTTATTATGTATATAAAATTTATATATCATAAACTCGGATATTAATTTAGTGACTAATAAATTAACATTTTGTTTTTACATAATTGATTTTGGGCGCGCGTCAATTTGCGTGCGTAGGTAGGTAGTTACGTACATACCGTGCGATTTCTGAATTTTTGGAGGTTATAAAAACTGTGTTCCATAATTGGTGCTTGAGCCGAAATCGGTATGTGGAATAGCATGATGAACCCACTTTCTGATAACGGGCTCTATTATGCCTCTTGCCAATAGCAGGCCTTTAAATCAGGTGGGTACGGGTCCGAGGGTCGGGCTTTAGCACGTACCTGCCCGACTTTAAAGGTCTACTATTGGCAACAGGCACGAATGAAGTACAAATGTAACCCGTTATCAGAAAGTGGGGTTTGCTATCCGATTTCGGCTCAAGTACCAATTGTGGAACACCAAAAATTCGGAAATCGCACGGGTTATTTTTGCGGAGGGCCATGTCATGTGTACTCTGATTGATAGTTATAACAAATTTGCAGGTATTATATAGAGATGTAGGCCAATGATTGCCGTAACTAGTTACGACATAAGCTTTAGCTAGTTACGGCTTAAGCCGTAACGTCATTGCCTGCATCTCTAGTATTATATCAGGTATACATTGTGTGATAAGATTACGTCAATGTCAAACAAATGTGTAATCTTCAAATCCTTGTAGAGTATACATGTTAAACGGTGCTTTAAAACAATAAAATAGAAAATAAAAATCAATTTTATATATTATTTCCCACCAATGACATTAATTTTTTTTTTGTTGAATCGGGTATAATTATAGGTACACAATATTGCCTTAATAACCATCGCACTTGGATACATTGCAATTTCTATAAAAATACCTTGGTAACCGGAACGAACTAGAGAATTTTCTGTGGTCAAATAAGATGTGTCACATAATCTGTCTTTTAGCGTTAATTAATAGTCATTCATATAGTTACTGCATATTAAGATCTGTAATGTATCGCTGATCGTTATTACTTATGGTTTAGTATTAAAAAAAAAAAGGCTGGTTTAAGCCTTTATTCAGATGTAAATGCTAAGATTTGCACAAATGGTCACCTGAAGAATTTTATCATATATTTTTATAATACTAAAATAGTGCGAGACTCAAATATCATATGTTGGAGCTTTAAGTTTTAATGTAGGACATATGTACTTACATTAAACTAAAAGAAAGATTTCTAAAAAAAGAAAAAAAAACGGAAACCCAAGTGAATTTTCTAAACACGTTTTAATTAATTTAAGATATGTTTTTTATCTATACTTTATAGTGCAGTAAAAACCTGTATATCGATATGGATTTCAACGCTACGTATTGACTTGTTAACTTAATTTGTAATTTTCAAAACAGTATGTATGTAATAGACAAAAAATAAATAAGAATAGAGATATTTTTGGTTACTATACATAACCTAAATAACTTAACATGCAGTAATTGCATGGTGAGTTTATAGTTAACTATTAAATTTAATAGCAACTATATCTGATATAGTTACTATGCAGTTACTGTACATTAAGAGATCTAGATTTCTGTAACGTTTTTAATGAAATATTTTTATAAAATCGAATAAAAGTTTTTATTAATAATTAACATAATATAATTAATCAATGAAAAAAAACTTGTTGTATCTACTATCTAAATTTCTTTTTTAAAATAAATTGACGTCTTACAATTTTATACCATATTATGCATTATGTAAAATCATATCGATTTTTACTGGTTAATGGTTTAATAAGGCCAGACTAATTCGACTGATTCAATCCATTCAACACTGGTCAAAATCGTTCAAATAGTGTATATGGTCATACATTTATCATTTATCATAAAACACACCTATAATTAACGCTTATCATATGCTTTTACTATATTTTAATACTTTTTTTCAAATGCTATATAACAGTATTAAAATCACAGAGATCACGTGGCAAATGTTTACATTTTTTCAACGAAATGAGGATTATTTAGAACGACTCAAACTAAGTGATAATTAGAATCACATTTCAAATTAAGAATTTACAGCGTTATACATGAGACTAATCGTTACATAGTGTGATTATCTTGAAATACATCTATAGATGAAATAACCTCGAAAGTAACGAGTTACATACTAGTTTTGTATTTAAGTCTTCAATTTTAGAAGTTTGAGAATAATTATCTAGTTTTTGACCATCAAGTCGGAATTACGGCATAAGTCCAGTATCGGTTCGAATCCAGTTCGAATCCAGTTCTAAATATAAGCATTTAAAAAACCTTAAATGGTAACTAATCAGACTTGAACTTATTACTCGTTTATAACGAGCTAAAAGTTTAAAAAATTCAATTTTATAGTTTATTAAAGTTAAAAAAAAAACTCGTCTTTTTTACTCAATGCATGTATCAAATCAACCAATCAAATCCGAGACTCACGTAATTTTGTGTTAAAGTGAAAACAAAACATACTACAGTAGTATATACATATATGTACTAAACGGCATTCATGCATGACATAATCACAATGATAATGCAAATGCAGATGATTATAAAAGGGACAAAAAAATTAAACAATCACAGCCACCAAATTTTGATTTTTTTTTTCTCTCGAAATAATATCAAAGTTTGTGTACAAAAAAAAAAAAAAAAAAAAAAAAAAACGAAAGAAAATAAAATTAATTATAATATGTCGATAAACTTATTGTCAACAGAAACCTTAAAAGAGATTTTCGAAAATTTAATAATCAATAATCCACGTTCATTTAATTCACGGTCATGTAATTCAGTTAGTAATTTACGATCGTGTATATCGGTTAGTAGACATTGGTGTAAGACAGCAATTCCAATTCTCTGGCGTGCGCCAATTTTTCCTGGTGAATATTCACCCGAGAAAACAACCAAACTTCTTGCAAAATCTTATTTACTATGTCTTCCCAAAGATAAAAAAGAATACATAAAAAAGGAAGGAATATGTTTTCCGCCCGCTCCACGTGGACGACCACCACTCTTTGATTACCCGTCATTTTTAAGAATCCTAGATTTGGATCGTATTTCAGAGATGGCAAAATTATGGATTATTCATCGAAGAACCTTGACAAAACCAAAGCAAAATTACATAGATATATTGAAAAAAACATTTTATGAATTGTTTATGGAACGAGCTGAGATGATTCATTCCATTAATCATTCTGGAATTTTTGGAAATGTAAAAACTCCATTATTTGATAAGAGAGCTCCAAATTTACAAAAATTGAAAAAGATTCAATTTTTCGAAAGGGAAGATGACACTACATTCATAGAAAACATTTCTGAAGTAGCGAATAATCTTCAACACATTATCGCTCAAAATAGAAGTTCTCGGCTTGCACTTTGCGCATGTAAAGCATTGGCAAACCTTATTGAAAATCAAAATGCATTACAACATCTTGGTGTCATTGGATATTATCATAACATTTCAATAATCATTCAATCAGTAAAAAGTCAAAAGAATTCATTGGTAAGACTTGAATTGTGCAACATGGACTTTCAATACTTTAATAATAATGCATTTGATGCGTTGGCATTATGTATTCATTTAAAATCATTCGAAATCGTTAATTGTAAAAGAACGAATGATACATGTTTAAAACCTTGGCCAAACATGTTTCCCAAGTTACAAAAATTCAAGTTTCACAATAATGTATTTTATGATATTGCATTTCCGACAAACTTTATTTCCAAGATAATTGAATCAGCAAATGATAATCTTCGATACATTAAAATCATCTCTACAACACCACCACAAGTAAATAGATCAAAAGTCGCAAATATCATAGCTGAAAATTGCCCAAATCTTCAACATTTATCATTCATAACGCTATCGAATTCTGAGATTATTTCTATTTTAGATTCATGTCAAAAGTTGAAAGAACTAAAATTCTATACGGAAAATAACTTTGATGATTCCATGTTTATAGAAATGGCAAAACGTTTACCACCTACACTTCAATACTGGGATCTTGCTATCGAAGCAGCTAATTATTATCCATCACCTAATGCAGTCAGATCATTTATTGACAATATCGAGAAAAACTCTCTCAAGGTTTTTCATTTCACGAGCCTTTATTTCGGGGATCCTTATTTGGAATGTGCTATCAAAAGGTTACTCGAACAGAAAGGAATTATGACTTCATTCACGGATGCAAATGTTGAACCCTTTTATTAATCAAACAATTGATATTATTTTATTATTTTTTGTCATTCATTTTTCTTTCTTTTTGTTTATGATGTGCCTATGTATGTATCGAATTTATTTAAAATTTGATGACTGGATGCAAGATTGGTTTGGATATTTAAGGGATGGAGATTTGCAAGGATGAATTAAAAAGCTTGCAAATCAAATGGAAATAAATATCAATAGCGATAGGTTAAATAAGGTGGATTTTATTTGATCGATAAAGAACAATTCTTTGTTGACATTTCTTTAAAAAGGGAATAAATTTTGAAGATAAAACTTTGTGAGTTATAATATTTTATTGTCAAATGTTGCTATTGAGTTATCAAGATTTGTGAAATTTGATTTATTCAAACACGTTATCTCTTATTTTTTTTTAAAAAAAAATAATTAGATCACGAAACGTAATGTTGGATGTCCAATGTTAATAAAGTTTAAAATAATATTTCGTACATTAATTTCCAAATAATTTTTATTAAATGGTTTCTACAGAAAAATAATAATAACGATTTTAAAGGTATTTGCATTAATTATCTTTTACAAATTTTGTCTCGTAAAAAGTTAAATCGATATATAATAATTTTTAATCAAGATTATGCACTATGATAAATTGTAAATTTTTTTTTTATTTTTTACAAACTTCAACGTGTATTCCTATATAATTTTTCTTGAACAATAAATTCAGCAACTGATTCAGGACAAAAATTATATAAAATATTTTTAATAATTTCTTCTCGTTCATCAGAATCATCAGTTTCTTGTCGTTCTATATTCCATGCATCACTTATAGCTTTTCTAACATTAGTTGATGAAATTTTTGCCAAATCATCATCTAATTTTACCCTAATTAGTTTTTCACTTTCACCAATGATTTCTTTTATGATATCACTTTGAAAAAAATTTTCTTCAATTTCCCGTCCACCATATCCATCTCTATTAGCACAAATAACATTACTAATTTCAAAAAATGAATTAAGTTCTTTATAAATATTTGAATAATATTGAGGATTAAATAAACGTATTACAGTATCAAAACCTAGAATAAAATGAAGAGAAATTTGAGGAGAATAATTAATGAAGGTAGAAGAATCAATGGAATAAGATGGTTTATTATTATTAAGATAAGATTGTATAGCTTTCGCTTTATCCATGAATAATGGATGAGTTGTCACACCAGTAGCAATATTCTGAAGAGAATTGAAAGTTTGTTCTGCCTTGATGGTAGTAGAATGAATTTGTGATGCTAGAGATTCCATCATTAATATTCTATCCACAGGTCCAGCATCAGATGGAGATGGAGTTTTATCAGCATTTTTTATTGCATAAAGTAATAAACAAGCGTCAAAAGATACAGAATTATCAGGTTTTGTATTAGAATAATTTTTTACGGATTGTAATAGTAACTGCATATGTGCTTTTGTGGGAGGATTAAATGATGAATCTAAAATTGCGATTTTTAATGTTGAATTATGTCGAGATTTAGTGGAATCTATTAAATAATAAGGCCAACTTGGAGAAGAAGTATAAGTTAATTTAAATAATGGTTGAGATGGATTTAAATTTAATTCATTTTGTAGTGATGAAAGTAAATTTTCTAAAGTTGTTCGGCTATCTGCTCGATGTGCACACATCTTTGTAACGGTAAAGCAATAAAAAATATATCGATATCGATATATATAGTCAACTAGGTAATGCACGTGCTTGGATCAACAAGCATTTAAAATGATAAAAAAAAAAAATCTTAACATTCTTATGAAAAATCAACTTCCTTCAAATACTTGATTCGATGTCGTCATCATCAAATTCCTCACAACCTCAACAATCAGAATATAAAGATTGCCCATCATGTAAACTAGTGGGATCTATAACTTTTATTGGGTTGGGTTCTTACGCAATTTACAATAGTAAAAAAATCAAGTCTGACGTAGCACTCGGATTATCTCGATCTACTCAATTTAAAAAAGTTGGGTTAGGAGTTTTTGGAATCGGTAAGTTTATATCTATCTATATATCAAAAGTTTTAAATATTTCAGTCTTTATTTGTGATTCATGTAATTGCTAAAAATTAATTTTCACGATTTGAAATTTTTTGTAAAAGTGAATATATTTGCTGGTTTATATCGTCTTTTTCAATAACTTATTTAAGAACTTGAAGAAACAACCAATAAACTTGATATATAATTCTTTGAACCATTAATTATTCTAAAGTATATAAACGGCGCCTATCAAATTATATAGAATGCTAACTAAAATATTTGGGACGTACTGCAGAGAAATTACCATACAATGTTCCTAAATACATTATGGCATACATTACACCGTTATGATATTTTAGTCATCGTTTTACAATTCTTCTGAGCGAACTAATACAGAATGGTTGGTTTACTGAACGTATGTACGTACGTACGTACACACGCACGCACGCACGTTAGTGCCACCTAATATTACGTAATTAGGTAATGTATTGCGTCATTAATTACATAAAAAATGCATTACATAGTCTGCAAATTCACCGTCGTTTCATAAATTTTATCTTGTACATACCGAGATATTTTTACTTGGAATGAATAATTATATGTAATTAACATCTTATCTGAAATGGGCATGTCTGATCCTCGTCCAATCGATTATTCACCTTCAAACTCTATTTCCCTTAGTAGTTCTATCTTAACATCCATCATTAATCGATCCACACCTGATCTTAGCAGGATTGATGATATTGATGTCGACATTACCGACTTGACTTATGATTCTGATGAAACTACTTCCGAGGATGCTATGATAATAGCAAATGATAGTAACTCTAAAATAATATCCGATAATAGAAATGATTATAATGATGAAATTAATCTTTTAACTGATGATGAGTTAGAAGAAGATGAATTGGAGGATGAAAATGAGAAGGATGAAAGTGAAGATGAAGATAAAGAAACCAATATGGTTTGTCTCATTTTATATTTTCTTTCTCTATCAAAATTTAATTGAATTATATTTTTAACTTTATTTTTTTTTTATAAAAAAGAAACGAATGATGTATCATATATTTTATATACAACGAGTTCTGTCAATACTTGTCCCTCAGGAATGAAATGTATAGTTCGTTTTTTTTTGAGACATATTAGTTGATTATTTATAGAAATTTGAAATTTAATTGTTTTTAGCTAGATAATATTTATATAAATATATCTTTAATACAAAACATTAATATAATAATTTATTAAATTTATTATTAAGTTTGTAATAGTTTCCAATTTAGCAACTTTAGAACTACTTTAAAGTAACTATTTGGAATGATACCGAAACTGGATGATGTTGAAATTTGAGGGTTTCGATTTAAAAACATAAATTCTACTAAAATTCATCTATATTTTTATTATAGTACAAACACTAATTTTAAACCCTAAACTAATTACAAAAAAATGTCAAAAAACGTTTTTTTAAAGGTTTTAAATTTTTATATTAAAATAAGTCAAAGTTTTAATATTATCTGGTTTTAGCATTATTTTTAATAGTAATTATATAGTTACTTTATAGTAGTTATAGTTTTAAAGTTATTACAAAATAGCAATATGTTTATTATTACTGTTATTTTACTTCTACTTTACTACTATTATTACTTTAAATTTATAAAAAATTATAGTAATATATAGTAAAATAATAGTAAAAATAATAGTAATATACAGTATTTTTTCTAAATTGATATACATGATGATTAGTTTTTGTATATATTAGTTTTAAAAAATTATTAAATTTTTAAAATATTATTAGCTTACTAGTTATATAATTATAAACAAATATAATTAGTTAAATTTATTTTTTAAATTTATATTATATTATACAAAATCTAATTTAATCAATTAAATTAATTTATTTTATTTGTTAAATTTGATATTTTATAAATATTTATTTTTAATTATTAGTTATTAGAAATAACAAATTATTAGGCTTATTTTATAAAATAAACATAATGGTCTGATTTTTTATTATTATAAATTATCAATTTTGATAAAATTAGTTTTAAAAAATTTAGTTGTAAAAATAAAATATATAACAATAAATAATAGTTTTTTTTATAAAGTTTAAATTTATAATTTATTAATTAATTTTAAACTTTTATAAACAAAATTAATAATTTAAGTTAGATATATATTTGTAATAATATTAAAATTTATAATATTTGCAATAAAAGTAGTAATAATAGTTTAGTTTAAATATAAATTAGTATATAAAATTGTACTAATTAAATTACTAAAATTAAAATTAAAAAAATAAATATATTAATTAGTTTACTAAAATTTATATATAAATATTTTTAAATTTTAACCAGTTAAATTAATACTTTATTAAGATTCTTTAAACAAATATAAATATAATTATATAAAATTTTTCAATATTTAAATCTAGCATTATTTAATCACTCTAATAGTATTTAGATGCAATCTGCTATATTATTTTAATTAAAAATAAATTGCTTATTTAGTTACTTAAAATCATATTAAAATATTTTTTTTCTATAACAAGAATATTAATTATCTTTTAAGTTTTTTCTTTATTTAATTTATTTTTTATATTTTATTTTTTTTTTTCTTTAATTGTTTTTTTTTTTATCTATATATCTTTTTTTATTTTGCTTGTTATATTAGTTTTTTTTTTATTTTTGCACTCTTTTATATTAAATTTTTATATTTGCTTATAGAAAATGTTTTATATTTTTTTGCTTCTATATATATATATATATTTATATTATCTGCTTATTTAATAGTTACTCAATTTATTTATTTTTATTATAGTTAACCCTTTTATTCATATTTTTCTGTTTGCAATTTCTTTCTTTTTTGTTTTTTTTTTTTTTTTTTTAAATATTAAGTTAAGTACTTGCAATCTAGGATTTTATTGATAATACATTCAGCTAATAGTTGCTTTACAACCACAGAGGGCAATCATAGAAAGAGTGTACAACTAGCTACTTATACAACTTTAGTCATTGTCTAATTTAAATAGTCTGCTCGAAGGTTTTTACACTAGCTGCCATATCTGGAACCTGCTTGTAGGTTCTCTATTTAACCACTCTGTTTTCATATCCACCCATCTACCTATACCTACCAAGATGTTTTAGTTAATACTAGTTCAAATATGCTATGGTCACTAAGTCTTTAAAGCAGTTTACTCATATAGAAAACCTTTGACCTTGTACTAAACCTTCCAGAACCTTCTGTATTCTATTCTTACAGCTGACCTAATATCACTATGGCCAAGACCAATACTGGCAGTCAGGGCATACTATTAAACTGCTATGTTCTTATAGAGTTCATTTCAACTCTAGTACTGATTTCACAACATATCCTTATTACTTTGGTATTCAATTCAAGTTCACCTAAACTGCCATTCCAGATAGCCCGAAAAGGTAGGTCGAAACCATACACCTCTAGTTTACATGTTTGCTAGCATATATACTTTTCTTCCAGAACCTGGAAATTCCAATGGCCTGATTGGTTCATCTGGTCCCTTCTCAAAAACTAGCACGTTTGCCCAATTTTACAAGTTCTAGCTCCATTTCATAAGTCTAGTCTTTATAGTAGCATCATTGAAGGTTCGAGTTACCTCTCTACTCAGGTCTTCCAAGTAGGCTTCCATCTTCTGACCTGGTTTCCTTAATTTACATGGGCTAAGAACTTATCTTGGATTCACACTACCTGGTACCAGTTTGTATTCCTTCGTACAACATTGTATGAGTGCCTAGACCTTTCAGTCATGCTGGTATAACACAGGTTACAGGTATTCTATTTTAACCAATTACGAAAGACAGTTAGCCATAATACAGAAAGAATTGCAAATTTTCATCATTACTGAGATTTGAACTCTAGACCTGCCATTTGGAAGTTGACAACCTATTCACTTCACTAAGTCGCCACACCTCTTTTTTGTTTTTTTAAATAATATTTTATATAATATTTATAATAAAATTCCAATTTTAGGAGCATGACAACTTAGTAAAATAAATAAGTTGTCAATCTCTTATTTGGTGTTTAAATTTTATTAATAGCAAAAATTTGAATAATCATTTATGTAATATTCTTATTATAGCAACTGTTTCTAACAATTGAATAAGATACCTGTAATAGCAGTCATATTAGCATAATTGACAGGTTATAAAACATTTGTATAACAGGTTATACAAAAAAATACAAACCAGCATCAGATGGTACAAACTTTAAATAAGTTCTTGTGATTGTGTAAATCTATTAAAATTAAAAATCAAAAAGTTTATTTAGAAAAATCTAAGTAATAAAGTAACATAGATCTTTAATAGTACTACTATAAAAACTAGACTACTGAAAACAAATATCAAGATTATAGTATCTAAACAGACAAGAATTTTTAAATTAAGAGTCTCAAAGGTATTATTAATTATAACATTAAGATAAACTAAAAAAAAAGACTATTGGGCTGATCCAATATACTAATAGATTGATTGTAGTCTTATATAGACTATCTGAAATAGAAGTTTAGTAAAAAGACAAAAGTATACTAAAAACTAGAAATATGTTATAAAGTAAATGTTAGAGTTTGAATAAACTCTATAAGGACATATATACTTGCTGGCAAAATGGCAAAACCTGAACAAATTTAAAAAAACAATTGCTATTTATAAAAAATTGAATCAAAAAAATAGTATTAAAATTTTGCTAATATATTATATATAACTATAAAAATATTTGATATTTGTTTGAATAAGGATTATTAATTAAATTTTTGAAATATAAATTTGACCAGAGTTTGAGATTTGAGTACGAACAAACTAATTTTATAATAGTTTGGAATTTAGCTAACAAGTATAAGGACATAGCAGTTAAATGATATAACTTTGATTACAAGTATTAGTTTTGCTATAGCAATACTTAGATTAGCTATAAAAATAGGTACAAAAGGCTCTAAAAAGTTTATCTTAAGAATAAAATAGTTCTAAAGTTGAGATAATAATCTAAGTATAACTTAGTAATGTTAATACAAATACAGATTCTGAAAGTTTAAAATAAAATATTCAAGTAGAAGTTTTAGATATAGCAATTAATAAAAAACTCTCAGATAAACTTTTTAAATAAGTAATATAAAAATTTTATATATATATCTAATTGCATATTCTTTCTGTAATAGTTTACAAAATCATATTATTAAAAAAATCATTAATAAAAGTCAAAAATTCAAAAAGGTTACCTTAACAAAAAAAATAAAATATAATATAATTTTGATTTTTTTTTTTAATATCTATTTTATATTGTTGCTATTAATATTTTTTGTATATATTTTTACAAATTCTTTGTTTATTACAACTTATTATATAGATTAGAGATTTTTTTATTATTTCAATAGACTTAATATATATTTTATTGTATATTCTTTTAATCTTCTTCTGTTTAGCTGTTTTAGTATTAGTAAATTATCTATTATATACTTAATTACTATAGTTTTTTTTCTTATATTTAGTTTTCTTAAAGTTAATTTACTCTTTTTGTTTTACTAATTTTTTTTAAAAAAATTTGACTAGTTGCAAATATATATTTTATTTCTAATTCTAAAAAATATTTTTTTTATTTATATAATATCAAAGTAAAAACTTTGTAAATATTGTAATAAAATTTACTAAAAACTAGCAAACTGTAGTAAACTTTAAATAATACAAGTACTAAGTAGAAGATCTTTAATTTAAAAAAAATAATAAAATAAAAAATAAAAAATAAATATTTAAAAAATGAAATTTAAAATTTACTAATTTTATAAATACTATAAGATACAACAATAAAATCAGTTTTTCAATCAAATTTTACTATCTATATCTCAATTTATTAAAAAAAAAGTTATAAAAAATCATATGAGAAAATTTATTAAGAATATTTTAAACTTTAAATAGGAACTAAAGAGTTTTTATTAGTAATTAAAAGATAGAGCCAGATAATAATAAAAAAGTATTTAATTAAAAATATTTATAAAAAAAATTAAAAACCAAAATAGAAGCAGATGTACAAGCCAAAAAAAATACATAAATAGAACTTTAATTAAATGTCTTAATAATAAGTTGCTATTACTAAAACTTCTAATACAATAAAGACTAAACCTTTACAAAAATCTATTTTGCATACTTTGTAATAAAGAAGATAAAAAAACCAAAAACATTTAGCAGCATACAAGTATTATAAGAATAATAAAAAAAATAGAAGACCTTTTGATTAATTTTATATAAGCTAAACTCTTAAGTAAAATGCAAATAACTATAAGTAAAAGGCAACTTAAAAAATTTTTTTAATAAGTAAACAAGTAAAAAAAAGAAAAAACAAAAGTAAAAATAGTTAAATGTTAAGTTTAAAAAAAAAACAATTTAGCAAATACAAAATATACTAAAGCTATTTAAAGAAAAAAAAGAATTTTTAGATATAGTAAACAATATAGCATAAAATAAGTTCTATAAAAATATATAAAAGAGATAATATAAAGTTATTATTAAATAAAAAAGCTAATAAATATTAACTAATTGTCAAAATGAAAAAAAAACAAAAAGAAATACAAAACCATTTAGTAAAAAGATATATAGCCAAACAGAAAGTACAATTAAAATGAAAAAAACTAACTACTAAAAAGATTAAGAAAATAAAAGAAATGAAAAATAGTAAGATAAAAAAAATATAGTTTGGTTTAATAAAAAATTATATAAAAAGTAAAGTATAACAATTTTTATATAGTTTTTTAGACTAGTCTGATACAGCTTTCAAATTTGAATATTACTTTAACCAGCATAGCAAACTATCTTTAAGCACTTATTGAAGCAGTTAGAAGATGTTAAACTAGTAAATTAGATCAAAGTATATACAAATTTGTAAATACAAATCTTAATAAAGATTAAAAACAAGGCTGCCAAAAAAGAAAAAAAAACTTATTAACTTTATTTAATTTTTTAACAATATATATTACAATTTTTTCTTAACTTATTAATATTAATTTTTTTATTACTAAATAATTTTTATAAAGTTATTTACTAACTACTTGTATTATCTAATATTCAGACAATTATTTGAAGATTTCTTTAATTTATTTTAACTAAACCTAATTTGAAATAGTTAGTTATAATATTTATAAAAAAGAGGTATGATAACTTAATGAAATAAATAAGTTGTTAATCTTCAAAGTAGTAAATTAAGA